ATTATTTGGCAGATATAGGGTAGAATAATGGCAGTTTTTTTTTCTGTTATTTACCTATTATTCACTCTTTATTCATTTGTTCGACCTATGTCATTATATATTTCAGAATATATTACTTAACTATAAGGCTTCAAAAGGCTTTTTTGCTAACTAACTACTTATATTTAATCCTTGTTAATAGGGCTCATTCTTGCAAAGTTTACCTAGACCTCAGTATTGACTTCATAGCATATTTCTAGTATTTATAGTATACATCTGCTTCTAATCTCAGACTCTCAATTCAGATAGTTCAAAAGAACTATAACTTGTTCCTAGTACTCTAGAGTCTGTCTTTAAGATTCTTTTTCTCTAGTTCAAGATTTCTAATGGCCTAGTTGGTGGTATCTCTTATCTGAAGTTTTTGCTTACCTATTTTCTTTCATATTAGTATCTGTTTTCTAAGTTTAGCTTTTATAATATTACTGTCAAAAATCTATACTATCTTTCTACTTGAGTTTTTCCAAATGAGCTTTAGCTTTTCAGTTCTATAAATTTACATAGTTACAGAACTTATCTTGAGTTTGTATTGCTTGATACCAGTTTGCATTTTACTATATAACTTCAATATTGCACAGATGCTCTATGACTTGCTAGTTATGCTAGTGTGACTATAGATATAAGTATCTTATCTTAACTAATTAACAAAAATATTGCATAGATAATTATTCAAATTTTCACTATTGGTAAGTTTTGAACTTACAACTTATTACTTAAAAGTTAATAACTTATTTACTTTACTAAGTTATTACACCCTATTTTTGTTTGCTTATTTTAAATTTTTATTAATATTTCTTATTGCAACATTACTATTTATATATCTCTCTATTTACTTTTTTTTTAATATTATTAATATAGTTGTTTAAATTGTTACTAATTTAGTTATTATTAATATTAGTTATTTTTTAAAACTTAATATTATTTCTTTTTCTAGTTATTTTATATATTATTTGTCTAAATCTATCTTATACTTATGTTTTTATTTAGCATCTTATTTTTAGTTTTTACTTTTATTGTATTGTCTATGTATATAGTATACTTGTTCTTAGAACTTCTATTATTTTTTTGATTTTAATTTTTGTTATTTAATTAATTCTACTTTTAACTTTCTATTATTATAAGTTTTTTAAGCTTTTGCTCTTTATTTTTTAAATTATTTGCTTTTATCTTTTCTGTTATTTGGTCTATTATTATCTTGATCTTGTTATTATTTTTCTCTATTAACATATTTAGAATTATTAATTTTGCTATTTATTTTTATCTGTTGTTGACAGCTACTTTTTATCTGTTTTTTTTTTCTTACATATTCTTTACATTTGTAAATTTCTGTTACTAATTCATTTTTTCTAATTTGCATTTATTAATGTTTCACTAATATTTTTTTTTAGCTATTTTATCTAATTGTCTACTATTTTATATATATATACTACTTTTTATCTTTTGATATTTGTTTTTATTTAATTTTATTACTTAATTATTATATCTGTTTATTTTAAAGTATCTTTTAATTTTTTATTTTCTGATGTTTTGAGTAATTTTAATTCTATTGTTTTAAACTACTCTGCCTTTTTACTATTACTTAATTGACTTCTGTAATTTTTAAACTGTTGTCATGTAATTAGTTTTTTTCATTTTATATCAAGTAGTTAGTTTAAATTTATTAGATCTGTTTTACTATACTTTTCTTCTACAAATATGTTTTCAAACTTTTATATTCTGTTATCATATTTAAATATTATTTATAGATTGTTTTTTGTTTTTATATTTACTTTTAATTCTTTTACTTTTAATACATATTATTAGACAAACTAAGTTATTTCTCCAACATGCTTTATTTTCTAACTTTTTTTAAGTTCAATATTTTCTATTAAATCTGCCTTTATTTTATTCCTACTGTTATTTTTTTTGTTAGGTTTATTTTCGAATCTTTGAGTTTTTTTGAAAAAAAACTAAAATTTCTTAATAAATACTTATTAAAATGACATAAAAAATTTAAAAAATATATATTTCAGTGAGCTAACATCTTTACTTAAGAGCAAAACCGGTTTAGTTTGACTTTTATATGTAGTAACTGTTTATGCATACATATTCATGCATATTGAAAAAAAACTAAGAAAGTATCTTATTTTAGGTAGTAGCTTATTTTCGAACCTATACGGTATTGCTCTTGAATATTTTGAAGATGATCCAAAGTACAATAAATGAAAATGATATTACATGCAAAGAATAAAGTATTTGAAGTTCCTTTTGAGAAAACGATGTCTTGGTAACTTCTATCAAAGATCATTAGTTACATGATGTTTATTTATATAAAATAAAGCCGATATCAAACTATTCGGATGTAACAAATATAATCGCCAGAATTTGAATTTATATTTTGCTAAAGCTAAATTCATACCTTAAGTACAACGAATTGAATCATTACAAAATTTTACGTGTTTGCATAAAAATTCGGGATGCCGTTAGGTAGTTGTATTAGACATATCTACCTTATGAAAGACGTCTTATGATAGCTAGAGTACCGAATAGAAGTAACCAAAATGTTGCAAAAAATGAGAATTTTTCGAACCAAAGTGAAGGGGTTGCTTTTAATCGGTAGTATATGGTATATATTTTTTAAAATATAAAAATTCTTTACATTTATATTTGTGGTTGCAGTAAACATGAAAAACATCACCGAGTCTTAAGAAAATTTTATTTATGAAACTATATTTATCAAATTACGACTTAGGGGAAAAAATTAGTATGTCTCGAATTGCGGACTTTTTTTGACTGCATTATGGTCGCTGCTATATATGTTAAATCAGCATCGAACTGTTTAATTTGTTAAAAACTATAACTAGCGCTAGAGTTTAAACTTAAGCAGAGATAAAAAAAAAAATCCTTTAAAGAGTCGTGAATATTATTTATTAATGTGGATCAGTCTTAATTTGATCATTAATTTGTTCATAACAAGAAGAGCAAAATTTCGAACTCTTCTCATCTGCTTCCAACACTGAATTAGAAAAGGTCATCACGCAAGGCAATTTACAATGCTTCAATCCAAACACATGACCTAACTCGTGAATGCACTCCTTGGATACAAATGCTTGACTATTTTCCAATCTAAAGGTCGAAACAACAGCACCAACTTTGTATTTAGCCAGTCCGAACACAAAATTTAATTTACGGTCGTAACAATCCGCAGGTGTTAAAAGCAATGTCAACGGTAAAATGGACGGAGTTATATCAGCAATTTCCAAATCAGTAACATTTGATTGTCGGTTTGCTATTTCATCACTTGTTGCATCTTCGACAATTTTAGAAAGAAGAGAATTCGCATCATACTGATTACGATTTGAATTCCAACAAGAAACCCCCAATTCAATAAGTCTTATGCTTTTGAATTCAACTTTAACAATGATATTCGCAAAAGTTTCTGTGATACGTTGTTTTAAGCCTTGAGTTAAGTCGTTAAAAATTCCTTGGTCCAAGAGTATAAGAAGACGATAGACTAACATTTTTGTTTTTATACTAAATAAGTGTGAAAATAAGGGAATTTATATAATTGCAACGATATTTGGTGACATAATTAATGACATAATAATGATAAAAATCCTTACAACATGAGTAAATAAATTATGCAATCCTCATGGGTTGCAGTTTTGCTTTTAACGTTAAGCCATCGCTATTAATTAATTTAAACCGTATTTAGGTAAATTTGGTAGATTTAACGTTTAGGATGTCCAAATTCTGGAAGTTACCCTAGCATCACCACCCTAAAAATTTCGTTACTATTTCGCAGGTGTAACTCAGAAGAAATGTCAAACCATTTTACCTATGAAATTGATTAACAAAAAGTTTTCCCTTGCGAAATTTTGGTGTCATTGACGCCTTTTCTAATCTAACTTGATATCAAATTCTAACCTAATTTAGCTGCAAATTTTTTAAGTCGATGATGCTAGGGTCTTAAAATTTAGAACAAATTTATCTAAATACCGGCTTCGATTAAATTATTTTAATTGACAGTTTGAGTCAGATTAAAATTAACATTTGGTCATATTTATTTAATTTTATGTTACTAAAATATATTATAACCTATCGCTATAACTATAAAAAAGACTTACGATTTGAATATAGAATCGTTATATTTTAAATTTAGCTACTATATTTTAAACAAAGATTTCATAATACAACCATTGATCTTAATTTTTTTGATCTCAAACCTAAACCAGAACCAGTTGAACCGAAGCCAGAATTTCTGAAATTTTATAAAATATGGCTTGAAAGCTTTCTTATCTCCAGTCAATTAGCCAGTAGGCTAGCTTACGGCTTTAAATATATATAGGATGCTTCGTATTAAAAGGGTCTATTTTGATTTTTTTTAAAAATTGTTTATATACTTGAATTTCTTAATTCACTGCATAGTAATTGTATAATAACTATATAACTATATAGTTACTACATAATTACTATGTAGTTATTGCATATTAAGATATTCAAGTTGCTGTATAGTGAATTAAGTTTATTAATTAATAAAATTTAAAACTTTTAAAATTTATTGTATTTTTTATAACTAATTTTATTCTAGATAATATATATATATTTTATTTTTTGGTAGTCTTGATTTTTTTTTTTTTTAAGTTAATAAGTTAAAGTTTTTATCTTTGAAATGCGACATTTTTATTCAAGTTTATAGGACACGGTTGCCTCTAGGGGCTTCCTTACAGTGAAGGTTACAACTAGTCATATGTGTACTTTTGGTGTCTAACTTAAGTAGTCCACTTATATATTATTATATAAGTTCTACACTAGATGTTATACCTGCAAGCCAGCTAAAGATCTTGTCTATTTAAACTCTTTGCAAATGCAATCCATCTTGTATCATGAGAACATCTTTAGAGTGTTGTTTATCCAAGTTTCCAATACTCATCAGTACCTTTAGGATTATTTTACATGTCAAACAAAGAAATATCAGTATCATATCAGTATTTTTTTAGATCTGATATTTAGATTGATATTAGTTAAAATTTGGTTAGAATTAGAAACTTATAAGATAAAAATTAGTGTTATATCAGTTTTAAGCAATATTGATAAGCTGATAGCTCTATAGATAAATTAATAGTACTATTGATTAAGTAATTAATAGTTATTGATCAATTGATCAATAACATTATTGATTTATCTATAAAGTTATCAGTTTACCAATATTGCTTAAAGCTGATATAATATTGATTTTTATCCTATAGGTTTCTGATTTTAGTTAAATTTTAACTAATATTAGTCTAAAAAAATACTTAACAGAAGACTTACTAGAGCTTGCTATGTCTCACATATAGCTGATTTAGTTTTATACAACATATTATAGTTACCTAACACTTGCAGTCACAGAGATTATCTGTTTAAATATTATATTACATTATTTTTATTTTTGTAAAGTTTATTAGAACCTTAGTACTTATTTTCTTAGCATTTTCTCTATTATTTTCTACTAACTACAATTTAAAACTAACAGATTCTGGTCATATTACTAATTTAGATAATCTGGTATAGTATACTTCTATATTCTTTTTCTTCAACAAGTTCAGTGGCCTGATTGGTTATTTGTTTTTTTTTACATATATTTGATATCTAATTTATCAATCTATTCTTATAAAGATGTTTTGTAAGCTTTAACTGATCTGATAATACTATTAAAAGTTTATATTATCTCTTTATTTAGGAATTTCTAAGTAGGTTTCTATTATCTTAGTTTTTTAATCTTTTATATCTAATAGTTTTATCATAAATTTATACTGAAGTCTTATGTAACATTAATTATTAATATTCTTTTATATATATGTAATGTTATACTTTGTATAAATGTTCTAAACTTCTAATATAGAGTAGGATCTAACTTGGTATATCTAAGTTATAGTCATATAAGGCCAACTAATTAATAAGAAACAGTTATTATAATACAAATATAATTTTCAAATTTTATTGTAGATAGAATTTGAACCTTAAACTTGCTACTTAAATAATAACAACTCAACTATATACTAGAATTATTATTTTCTTTTGGTAATCTTGTTAATTATCTTTATTAAGAATTTTATTATTATTTTTTTTTTAAAAAAAAAGCAAAGCCTGACCTCTATTCCTTTATTATTATTATATAAATTTTTTATATAAAGTAAGTAAATACAATGTTATAAAAAACTAAAAACTAAAATTAATTTACTTTTAACTTAGACTTTGCTAAGAAGGTTTAGGACCTCTTAGTCTATATATATAATGTTTGTTATATATATGTTTTGTTAAATAAAATTTGAAAACTATTTGTTATATTTATTCTGTATAATATCTATAATAAAATAAAATTAAGTTTGAGTAATTAGTGAGTTGGTTGGAGTTAAAATATTTGAATTTTGATTCTGAGTATAAGATATGTTAGTGCATTTGTGTTTTTATATTTGTTTATATATTTTTTTAAAGAATTTGTAATAAAAGTATAATATGTATTAGTTGTTAACTAAGTTAGGTAGCTTTGTTGTAAGGATAGTACCTAAAGATACTAGTATTATATTTAGTATATACTGGTGTTTTTGACAGTATTTAAAATTTAGTATAAGTAATATCAAGTGTATTTGTTATAATTTGTTGTAGAAATATGTTATTTGCAAAATATATAATCTAGTAGTTATTGTCTTCAATGTAATTTTTGTATTATAGACATATTAAATCTGGATATATATTAGAGTATCTATTATTTAGGTTTTTGTAAATAGATAATTTATCTAGAAGCATTTTGATTTTAAAAGACTTTAGTTAGAATGTATAGTTTTTGCAATAGGTTTGTCTTTGTAACTAATAAATTGAGTTGTTATTTTTTAATCAATTGGATATTGTATTCAGGATTGCATTTAGCTTTGTGAATACTATTTTGCTAATGTTTAAGAATTTTGTAAGTGTCTAATAAGCCTTCTAATATTGTGTTCAATAAATGCTAATTATATTAATAGAATATACATATTGTAAAAAATTTTGCTATAAGAAATGTTTATAGTAAATATTTAATTTATAGAGTTGTATTGTTCTAAATTAGCCTTATAAGTAGGTTGTAAAAAGATATATTTGTTTGCTGCTATAGTTCTAATTCTGATTTTATATACTCAGTTTGGAGTATTATGCAGTAATCTTGTTCAGTAAGCAAGAGTATTCATAGTTATTGTTAGATCTTAAGTAAAGAATTGATGTTATATATATAATCTAAATATGCAATTGTTTGGACAAACAGTTAATAGTTAGTATATATAAAGTATGTATATTTGATGATCAGATTGCATTTTGAACTAATATTATATAGAAGTAGCCAATAATCTTCAATGTTACTGTTAAAGGATTATTGGTTATTTTGGTTATATAAATATTAGTTTGTATTTGTTTTTTTCTTTTAAGTATTTGATATATGTTTTACAATGTTGTTTATATAGATAAGATTAAGACAAGAATTTTTTATAAATATACATTTTTTTTTTTTAGAAGTCATATTGAAATGCTTGCTTTGAATTTAGTATAAGTGCTAGGTTTTTCTTTATTGGCTTTTTGTATATCTTAAAGGTTTATATGTAGTTATTTTTTGCTATCTACTTAAGTTAATATTGTAAGATTTTAAATATTATAATTTTGCAAGTTTTTGTTAGATGAAGGATAGTAAGCATCTTTTGCATCATGTTAATTGATTGTTTTTTTCATTGTGCTTTTAGTAAGTAATAGTAATATTTTAGTCATCTGTTTTAGTAATTTTGCTAATTATTAATTGTAATATAAAGATAATTATCTATTTTGACTTAGTAGCTATTATTGAAGATATAGTAAATAGGTTGAGCTTTATAAGTAAACTATGCAGATTTTTAGCTGCAGCAATTGTATTAGTTATTGTTGCAAACTATTTGGTTTTTCTGCCTTTTGGTATTTTTTGTATATTATAATAGAAGGCTTTTTATTGAGTGTTTGGTCATTGTGATAGTTGCAAAATTGTTTGATAGCTTGAATGTTATGGTTGTTGAGCTGCTTTTTTATTTAGTATATACAAAACATATTGGTAAATATAAAATTGATAGAATTGCCTAAGTGAACTTTTGAAATTAGTTATAGGTTAGCATTATTTATAATTTGTATTTGTAGTTTGTATAAGCTAAAAACTGTTTTTGCAATTAGTATATTGTAATAAGATATTGAAAATTCAAATGTATTAAGCAGAATTAATATATTACAGTTTGCTGCATTTTGAAGTTGTTAAAGCCTTATAGTCAGTATTAATTATTTGAAGTTAGAATAGTTAATATTTTAATAAGATTAAAAATATGTTGTTGGTTTTGAATATTGTATAACTAATAAAGTGTATATATATAGAGTAGAGTACAAAATGTATTTAGAAAGAGTTGCTTTGCTTTTAGCAATACTAATATATTGATTGGTAATTGTTTTACATTGTTGTTTGGTAATATATATGTTCTGTATATAGTATGCAAAATAA